GATAATATCTACTTAATATTATGAATAATACCTAATTTGACTACATAGCTTAAAAACCAGTATCGCCATGCTATGCAGCATTTCTATTCATAGATCATGAATGAACAGAATTCCTTTAAATTTAAAACTTATACCTACATAGAACAAACAACAGCTTACATAAACATACTTGCACATCAAACTATACATAACCAGTTTACAGGCCTCGCTTTAGAGCTCGTACACAACTGCGATGCGACGTCGCATCGCAAACATGTGCGAGCTCACTCTACGCATCGCAATAATTTGCTAATTGATTCAAAATCTTATTTTCCCAAAATCGTCTTTGTTCCTTTTTCCTGTATCTCCTATGCAAGAACAGAAGTGCACACTTCTTTTTACGTTTAAAATACGTTTAGTACGGTTTGCGGTCGTTGAAGGAATGGTCAGTGTGGGAGACGCCTTGTCGCATGAAATCGCATCGCAGCAATTCGCATCGTAATTTTTTGCGTTGATTATCATGATCTAGCTTTATATCTTTCCGCACACTCGACGGTCAGTGTATACTGGTTGTGCATAACTTGATATGAAGCCGTGTCTACAAGTCTACAGTCCCAATATTTATTTGTACAAGTTGTAAGAATTATCATAAAAATGTAACTTTGTGAGGAGTTGGCTAAGACCAGTCTGTTTTATTTGTTATTTGTGTTTTGCGAACATTTATGTGTTAGGAAACTGACATTTTGCTTATTTTGTATACCTAGTGTTTATTGTATTTTCTCGTGTGAATCTTGCGTCTAATCGGTTGTAATCATATCAATTAGGTATTCCAGATTACACCTACTTTACTTACCTATTGATATAATTGTTGCGGCTACCTCGTTGGCCGAGTAGTCGCCGTCGCAAGTGCGACTGCTAGGCAGGTGGTACGATTCCCAGGTCAGGCAAAGTATTACTGGGTTTTACAAACATTTTCAGTAGTAGCACTGAGTCTGGAATTGTGTCACTTTTACCAATATCTTGATAAATATCTCATTGTGCAGTAGTTTAAGCGTGTTGAGCTTACAAACATACATACAGATACAAATTCTAAAAGCTATCGATAGTTGCTTTCAAATACCAATAAAATATAGACATAACATTAGAAATGGTGTTATTCTGAAATATTTCAATACACAGATATTACGATGTTCAAGTTCACGCTGAAGGTGAATGCCATTGAACTGTACCGTCTACGGTCTATGTGCAGGGCGCAGACAGCCTAGCCCTCGGGGGTGACGCGATATATCGCCCTCTTACACCTAACTAAAAGCATTTCGGAAATGAGAATTTATGTCAAATTATTTTCTTGGGATATGAAAATTTTATTGGGCCCTCTGTAGCTATAGGACATGGTATACGTCTGATGTAATTGTATAATAATAATAACTATTATAGAGCGATCTTAATACTAATTATATCAGAATCTAGTTCTGATTATATTATCGGACTTAAAATGAATGTAATTTTAGTTGAAGGAACCATTTTTAAAGGAAAGGATAATTTTAATTTGTTTATTTTCTGACACCCCCACCACCCAAAACCGCTGCAACTCCTGTAAGCCAGTATCTACATTAGATACAACCATGAAAACACCGGAACACTGAAGTTAATCGAGTCCCAAGGATATAAATAACTGTCTTAACTGGAGAATTTGTGTGCAACTACCTATTATGCGTCTACCTTTATACTGAATTCCTAAGAATAGCTTACTTGCAATTTTTCCAACTCACAACAATTTGATGGTCGATTACGCCCACATCAGTGTTAGGGTTAGCAATTTTATACATGTATATGCTAGACTATCATTTTAAATTAAAAACTTGCCATACTGGTATAACAACAGCTAAACACAACGTTTTCAAATGGGATCTCAGCAGCGGTAAATGTTTTGTTGATTTTTTCGATTTACAAATATAATACCTATTTTCTTCTCCATTACAATAAGACTTTTTTTTAAGGGGGGAAAATCATCAAATGACTGCTCCCGCCTGGGTGAGGCGGGAGGGAGTGTCAGACTCTTACTGACTAAAAACCACGCCGTTCCTTCTCCTGCACGTCGAGACGGAGCCCCGGTTACCCGTTAGGTTCTCCGCGAGTTTACTATGGTGCAAAATTTTTGTCTCTACCTACCAATATCAATCATAATAATGTAATGTATGAACTAAATCTCAATTACAGTGTAACTAGGTAAAGAAACCACATCGATAAGCAATAATATTCTTATCATACAAATTGAAAATAAATCCTTGAATGGAATAATATCTTATAACATTTAAATATATTCAGAGCACGTGTTTTCTAAGAATGTGGTGGTACAGCGCTCATTAGAATAATTTGATTGGTCGTATGCATGCTAAACATGTTGGCGCTAATCTCGGAAAATTCTTTGAACATTTTGATGAGATCTTCATTAATGAATCTGTTAGTAGTGTTCCCAAGATGTAACACAAAGCATTTTGAAGTCAATGCTTTCTAAGCTTCCTTTTTACTATTTCTTCCAGTCGAAAGACCTCCATGTGTATTTTCTAACCAGTGATAAAATTGTCTTATCCTCAAAGCTTTTGATGGCAGTTATGAAATTAGATCATCCATTATAAAACCAATTACTTTTTGCCCAATCAAATTAATGTACATCTTCAATAACCTATATAAAGAGGGCGTAATTGCTTATGTATTTTAAAACTACATAATTGTCTAATAAAAATAAAAGTAATTTGGTAAACATCGGGCCTTAAGGCTCGCGTCGATGACTCATAAGTGGAACATTATATTTTATGTATATGATTATAAACTTGTTTGTTAATTGATAAAAACTGAGTGCAGGTGTTCCAATAAAATGAGTGAGTACACCTGGGGATTGGAATAAAATAAATTGTTTAATGTGACCATTTTTTTGGCCTGCAGTGTACTGTACAGTCTGCAGAATTTTGTAAGCTGGTTCAAATGCACTTTGAAGGCATATCTGTTACTTATATTGTAACTTTCGTGAGACATAGATACTAAATACTAAATAAATTACCATGTTTTCGGCTTAC